TCTCTCTCTCTCTCTCTCTCTCTCTCTCTCTCTCTCTCTCTCGGGGCCCAGCAACTCTTTGCCAGAACCAAGAGCAAGAAGAAAATAAGGAATTATACACGACAAAGGACATGACCTCAATTTTCTTCCAGGTTGAATTTTCTGTCACTGTGGGAGGTGGCTGAGGAGGAAGGCTGGCAAAGGCAGTGGCAGGGCCAGCAGAGGAGGGGACACAGGGACACTGGGCTGCCCTGGCCTGGCTTTCTCCTGCAGGAACTCATCCTGGCACTGGACATCTACTCCATGGGTCCCTGAGTCTCCTCCCTGGCACTCAGCCTAACCCCCGGATTACCCTAGCTCCCCCATTAGCAGCTCAGACCCTGAGCCATTAGTAGCTATCCACACCTCAGTGGGGATGAGCCCCAAGCCAGAGGAGTGGCTTCAGGAGTCCAGGGACCATGAACAAGGGGGTGTCAGAGAACAACTAGGAGTTCTCTACTCTCAGAGGGACCAGACCCAAAGTCCTCTTCACCCTCACACCTGAGCTCCAGTGTCACCACCCTCCCTTGCCTCTGGGGATGTCTAACTGGGATTCACCCTGAGCTCCCTTCCCCTGAGCCTTTCTTAAACCCAGACGAGAGTTTGGAGGTTAGGGCTTATGTCCACTGTCCCACATCCTCACAGCTGAGTTGTGTGATGGACTGTGTCCCTTTGGGGTGGAGGAGGCCAGGCCTGGGGGCCTCTCCATCTAGGGCCCCACAGTGCCAGTGGAGGAAGGGAGGGAGGGAGGGGACAACAACATGCAGGGCAAAGGGTGTCCTGAGACCCTGAGAAGACCCAAGAGGCTGGTCCCCTCTTCCAGGGCTGCTGGGGGATGGGCTCAATACACTGACATGCGGTACCAGCCAGAGAGGGAAGTTGAGTCACTGAGGTGGGCTCTGGCCCTGTCCATCCTTAGCGCTGGGCCCTGTCCATGTCCCCAGGCCCTGGTGCCCACCAGTTTTCCTGCCTCACTCCCTTCCTGGCTCTCTTTTCTGTCACTGCTCTCTTACCTGTGGAGCTGGGTAGAGCCCTGCAGCCCCTTCCCTGTCTGTCTCCCCTCTGTTCCACCCACCGCACACATGGGCATCGGGCTAGATGAGCTTTTATCCACCCTGGTTCCCAGGGAAGAAGCCACTGGGCCACCCCAACCTTGGAAAGGCGTTGTGGGTCAGGGTCCAGGAGCCTGCATGACCTGGCACCCCATCCTTTCTCTCTCACCAGGCAGCTCTGGGGCTGAACATTTTTCTCAACTGTAAAATGGGCCCCTGTGAAAGCTTCCATAGGAGTCTGAGCCAGCGAGGGTGAAGCCCAAAGCTGGTCCTGTCTGTTTTCTACAGGCAGCGCCTGGGGCTAGCATGGACCTGGCTGGTGCCTGGGGCCTCCACGTGACCTGCAGCCTCCCTCCCTCAGTGGTTCTCCAAGTCCACCCATGCCCCTTCCTCTCCACAGGTTGCCCTTAACAGTCTACACCCTGGGGTGACTGTGAACATAAAGCCCTCACCAGACCCTCACATGAATGCTTTCAGCCTCTGTGAAGTTAGGGTTTGAGGCTGGCAATGCCTACCTTGTGTCTCCTAGCCAGTTTTTTATTTATTTATTTATTTATTTATTTATTTATTTATTTTTATTTTAGGGAAGGGTCTACAGGGTATTTAAGTTTTCACTACTAGATCAGACTTGTAGTGATCCACCTGTTTATAGCCTCCCAATAGGGAGGAGCAGCTACATTGTATAGCTGGGATTACAGGTGCATGCTACCAAGCCCAGTCTCAATTGCCATCTCAGCACGCCCTAAGGGTGGGGCCAGCATGGCAGGCCCTGGGATGGAACCCTGGGCCCCTGGGCCTGCTTGCAGGTGCTTTAATCTGCTGAGCTATTTGGCTGGCTCTCTCCCTAGCCAGTTTTGAGGCTATCCCTGTGCAGCTAGGGAAAGTCCAGTATCTGAGGTTGTACCTCCCCCCCCCCACAGACTCTGGCCCACAAACCTCTAGACCCTGTAGGGAAACAACCAGGGAAGGCGGGCATTGCCTGGGGCTGCACAGTAAACTGGTCCTAGGGAACAGCTCTAGCAGAGCCAGCCGCATGGCCTGGGATGTGGGTGAGGGTATAGTTGGCGTCTGCAGCCTGGGTCTGCCTTCTGCAGCTGCTGTGGGGCTGTGTTGTGCCCTGGACACAGCCATCCTCTGCCTGCTTCTGATGTTTATTGTCTGTATTTATTGGTCCAATTTTTAATTCTTGCCCTTGTAGGAAACCCTTCAGGGGGCAAGTTTCTGAAATAAAACACTGATTAAAATGTATAAAACATGTCTCCTGGCCATTGTGGGGGCAGTTGGCAGGGCTCAGGGCACCAAGACGGCAGATGACCCTCAGACAGCTTCACTTGAACCGTGGGGACAGGGACCCCATGAGGTGTGTGACTAAGAGCTAGGCCCAGTGCCCTGTGCTTGTGGTAGGCTCTCTCTCTCTGTGCCTTGCTTTCCCAGCCACTCAGGACACTACCTGTAAAAGACAGGGATGCCCCCAGCTTCAGGGTGGCAGCTGCACAGGGCAGAGGTGGCCAGTGTTTCCAACCTGCTTAAATTTGCTCAGGAGCCCACTCCAGGGGGAGCCCCATCAGCAGGATTGCACCCCTGTGGCTCTTCCATGCATAGGCTGCCTTTCTGAGGGCTTCCTTGGGTCTGCTTTGTGCTGACCTTGGGCAAATGGACCCAGGACCCTGGCTCAGGTTCCTCTGGAGGGGCGCTGTGCTGAGGCTTGAGAGCAAGTTTCTCTCTTCCTTCAAATCTCTAGGAAACTCTTCAGTGTTGCTATGATGCAGGGTTTTGTGGCCTTACTTGACTAGCTTGCATTCTTCAGCTTTTATCTCTGTAATCTTTCAGCATCATGTTTTTATCTTGGCTCAAATCAGCTTTGGAACAGAAAGTGGCACCCAGCAGTTATATAGTATCACTGCATCCAGCAGCTACATAGTGTCATTCCATCCAGGACTTACACAGTACCGCTGCATCAAATGGTTACATAGTACCCACATCCAGCCTGCCCTGTTATTGCTAGATCTAGGATTTACATAGTGTTACTGCATCTGTTACATAGTATCTTTGAAACCTAATGGCTACATAGTGTCACTGCATCCAGCACTTACACAGTATTACTGCCAAGAATAAAGCCCTTCAGTATTGTAGACCAGGGACAAGATGTGACTGAGCAGGTCCCATATGGCTTTGTGGAGGAGGTGGCCTTTGAGGTGATAGCCATGGGGACTGCTGGGACAGTTCTTCCAGAGGAGGTGGCTTAGCAGGAATAGGAAAGACAAGTGTGCAGCTGTAGATGGCTCTCTAGGAGTGGCAGGAGGAGTGGTGGGTAAGTTGAAGCTGGGTGGGGAAGGCTTTGAATGCCACAAACAGGTCTGCATGAGGCACTTGTCTCCAGCAGGGTGCCCTGTGTCCCTTGCTGTCCCTGCAACCTCAGCCTCTCTCCAGTGGCTCCCACACTACCCCCCCGGTCCAGCCATGAGCTGGGTGCTAAAAGTCCTATTTACCTCTTGAGGTCCTCAGCTGCACACCCGCACCAGCCCCAGCTGCCAACCCAATTACTTATTGATCGCCTGTCAGGATGTTTGCTTTTCTGGTGGGTCACTGGAGCGTGTGTGCTGTGGAAAATGGCCTGGTGGGGGCAGGGTGGGGAGAGGCTGAGCCCCAGGAGCATCTGGAGAGAGGGTGGACTCAGCCCTTGGGGATAACAGAGCCCTACGAATTCCATGACAAGTCACTGACACCCTAAGTCCTCTCTGGTTAATCAGTCACTTAGTCGATCAACAAACAGGAAACACCTGTCAGTCCTAAAGTCTGACAGACCAGAACTCCTGTCCCACATCTGCTGCTTCTGCTGCTTGCATGTCCTTGGGCGACCACAATCTCTTGGGCTTTTGACATTCAGATGACAAGTATGGATGGCCTAGAAAGGAGAGGCATGAGGGGAGTTAGAGGGGTAGTAGACAAAGGGTCTGTGCTGGGGCAAGGGGACCTGCCCTTCCTGGGCTCCCATCCTGCAGTGCCCCCTTGGGGCCTTGTGTAGTGTAAACATGCCCCTCCCCCAGTGCTGCATGTCTTGGGGCCCAGCTGGCTTGTATCCACTTGGGGGTGCCTGTCCTCCTCAGGATGGGTGACTACTCCTCCCTCAGATCACAGCACACATGGCCCTGGTGCTAGGCGGGAATAGGAACCCGGAGAAGAGGTGTTTGATGACTCAGGGGCTCTTTTTCCTTAGGGAATCGGTAGAGGTTCGCAGACAGTGGGGTTTCAGCAGGTGGGGCCTGTGTCCTGGGAGGAGAAAGGAAGCCATGGCCAGGTGGGGACCAGGAGCCTGAGCATTACCAGCCCAGGGACCCAGAAGAAGGGAAATCAGGGATCCTACAAGCTTCCAGGGGTGAGCAGGTACCCAGAAAGAGTTGAGGGATATTTGGGGCCAAAGCCCTTTGGGGAGAAGGCCTGTGGATGCCTCTGCCACTGGGCTTCTTGACCCCAGCACTGCCTGAACTACCTGCCATGGGGATGGCAGGGGCCCACAGCAGGGGAGTGGGGCTGGTGAAAGAGGGTGCCCACAGCCTGGGGAGCCCGCCCTGTAGCCCAGGGTTGTTCCTAGGAATGCTGCTGCCTTTGAGCCCCTTTGATCTCTGTGAGACCTGGGGTGGCTCAGCAGGGCTGGTTTTGTCCCTGAAACTTGGCCAGGGCATTGCCTGTAGATGGTAAAGGGGGTGGCACTGTCCCTTTCCTGATCCCTGTTGTTCCCAGAAAGGCTGGCAAGAGGCCGCCTGGCCTAGACATCTCAGTGGCCAGTGGCCCTGCCACTCTGCCTTTGCCTCTATGCCAGGGACACCTGATGGGGCAGGAGGGTCCAGGGTACTGTGGGCTTAGGAGGGGTCCCCTTGGGTGGTGCCCCTTCTCATGCTGTCCTTGTCCTGTGCTTTTTTTCTGGTGCAGGTGAGCGAGAGGATGCTGGCGGGGGGTGCGAGGAGCGTGCCCAGCCCCCTCCTGGCCTGCTGGCAGCCTATTCTCCTGCTGGTGCTGGGCTCCGTGCTGTCTGGCTCAGCCACGGGCTGCCCACCACGCTGTGAGTGCTCTGCACAGGACCGCGCTGTGCTCTGCCACCGAAAGCGCTTTGTGGCCGTGCCCGAGGGCATCCCCACTGAAACACGCCTGCTCGACCTGGGCAAGAACCGCATTAAGACGCTCAACCAGGACGAGTTCGCCAGCTTCCCACACCTGGAGGAGCTGGAGCTCAATGAGAACATCGTGAGCACCGTGGAGCCCGGCGCCTTCAACAACCTCTTCAACCTGCGAACGCTGGGGCTGCGCAGCAACCGGCTCAAGCTCATTCCCCTGGGCGTCTTCACCGGCCTCAGCAACTTGACCAAGCTGGATATCAGTGAGAACAAGATTGTCATCCTGCTGGACTACATGTTCCAGGACCTGTACAACCTCAAGTCCTTGGAGGTCGGGGACAACGACCTTGTCTACATCTCCCACCGCGCCTTCAGTGGCCTCAACAGCCTGGAGCAGCTGACACTGGAGAAATGCAACCTGACCTCCATCCCCACCGAGGCGCTGTCCCACCTGCATGGGCTCATCGTGCTGCGGCTGCGGCACCTCAACATCAACGCCATCCGGGACTACTCCTTCAAGAGGCTATACCGGCTCAAGGTCCTGGAGATCTCCCACTGGCCCTACCTAGACACCATGACTCCCAACTGCCTCTACGGCCTCAACCTGACGTCCCTGTCCATCACACACTGCAACCTGACCGCTGTGCCCTACCTGGCTGTGCGCCATCTGGTCTACCTGCGCTTCCTCAACCTCTCCTACAACCCCATTGGCACCATTGAGGGCTCCATGCTGCATGAGCTCCTGAGGCTGCAGGAGATCCAGCTGGTGGGTGGGCAGCTGGCCGTGGTGGAACCCTATGCCTTCCGCGGCCTCAACTACCTGCGTGTGCTCAATGTGTCCGGCAACCAGCTGACCACCCTGGAGGAGTCGGCCTTCCACTCGGTGGGCAACTTGGAGACACTCATCCTGGACTCCAACCCGCTGGCCTGCGACTGTCGGCTCCTGTGGGTCTTCCGGCGCCGCTGGCGGCTCAATTTTAATCGGCAGCAGCCCACGTGCGCCACACCCGAGTTTGTGCAGGGCAAGGAGTTTAAGGACTTCCCTGATGTGCTCCTGCCCAACTACTTTACCTGTCGCCGCGCCCGCATCCGGGACCGCAAGGCCCAGCAGGTGTTCGTGGACGAGGGCCATACAGTGCAGTTTGTATGCCGGGCAGATGGCGACCCGCCACCCGCCATCCTGTGGCTCTCACCTCGCAAGCACCTGGTGTCAGCCAAGAGCAATGGGCGGCTCACCGTCTTTCCTGATGGCACCCTGGAGGTGCGTTATGCCCAGGTGCAGGACAACGGCACGTACCTGTGCATCGCAGCCAACGCAGGCGGCAACGACTCCATGCCCGCCCACCTGCACGTGCGCAGCTACTCGCCTGACTGGCCACACCAGCCCAACAAGACCTTCGCCTTCATCTCCAACCAGCCGGGCGAGGGAGAGGCCAACAGCACCCGCGCCACCGTGCCTTTCCCTTTCGACATCAAGACCCTCATCATCGCCACCACCATGGGCTTCATTTCCTTCCTGGGTGTTGTGCTCTTCTGCCTGGTGCTGCTGTTTCTCTGGAGCCGGGGCAAAGGCAACACCAAGCACAACATTGAGATTGAGTATGTGCCCCGCAAGTCAGATGTGGGCATCAGCTCGGCTGATGCACCCCGCAAGTTCAACATGAAGATGATCTGAGGATGGACTGCGGGGTAGGGACCCCTGGACATGTGGGTCAGGGGAAGGGGTCCAGCTGTTACCCCCTCGCTCCTGGCCCTCCTCGCCTCCTCCTCACTCCTCCACACACTCCTTTTCCCTCCTGGCCCAGGCTGGCTGCCCCCTGCCATTCTTCACCACCGCCCTCTTCCTACCAGGACCTCAGAAATCCAGGCCTGGGGACCCCAGCTTCACAGGGGCATGCAGTGACACGGACTGGATTGAGAGCCGGCTACCTGACACGTGGCAGAGTCAATAATTCAGTTTAAAAAAAAAAAGTTACGAACTTCCTCTGTAACTTGGGTTTCAATAATTATGGATTTTTATGAAAACTTGAAATAATAAAAAGAGAAAAAAAAACTATTTCCTATAGCTAGTCGGAATGCAAACTTTTGACGTCCTGATTGCTCCAGGGCCTCCTTCCAACTCAGTTTCTTGTTTTCTTCTCCTCCTCCTCCTCCTCCTTTCTCTCTCTTCCCCTATGGGGAGGGATCACTCAGGAAAACAGGAAAGGAGGACCCAGCCCCTCCCTGCCACTCTGCCAGGCACGCTCAGGAGCAGCTGGGCCGCAGGTCTGGGCCAGCTTTGGGCTGGCCTTTTATAGGGAGTGGGAGATGGGGACAGGGCTGCCCGTGGAGTGGGGGCTGTTTGCTGGGCTGCCAGGTGGCACTGCCATGGGGAGATAGGGGCCAGCTCGGGGATGGCAGAGACTCCAGACGGGGCTGGTGTCCTCCCAGGAGACAGCATGGTCGGTGGAGAGGGTGGAGGGCCAGAGGCAGGCCTGAGCCCTAAGCCGTGGTCCTAGCTGTGCTGCTCACTTTACTGCGTGGCCTTGAGCCGCCCGCTGGCCTCTCTGGGCCGTGTCTCCCCATCTGTACTGTGGGAACATCCCCTGCCCTGCCTACCTCACAGGGCTGTTGTGAGGATTGATGAGATGATGTATGTGAAACACTTTGTAACCTGTAAAGCGCTGTGCACATGTGTGGGTGACTCCTCTCTTATGGTCGTTCTTGTCTCCCCATGGGAATGGGTTGCTGGGGACTTCTGCAGGGATGGGTGGGGTGCCAGGGAGAGAGACAGCGTCCAGGCTGTGACTGAGGCCCTGGCTGGAGAGGGGAGCCAAGGCCCAGGCAGCATTGTATACCCTGCCAGCTCCCCCAGTCTGGTAGCCCCCATGGACTACCAGATGTGTGCAAGTCTTTTAACAATCACTTGCTAGGCTCCAGTTGCACCAGATGTTCTTTCTGGTATCATGCCAGTCTGTAGAGACTGGGCAACCGCATCCTGGGGTCCCTTTTGGGACTGCCCAGGCCAACTTGCCTCCTTTTAGCAGGCTGTTTCAGGGGCTGTCCTGTTCTTTTCAGGGGCTCCTGGATTTGGAATTGGGGCCTCTTGCTAGCCAGGAGGGCTGGACAGTATTCCACACTCTGTCCATATCCATCAAGCCAGGCCTAGATGTTCCACACTTCCCTGGAGAGGGACACCCAGGTGACAGTGAAGAGCCATGCAGGCCTGCTGTGAGCAGAAAACCCTAGGCAGCAGATCCTGTCCCATGGAGGGCACAGAGTCAGAGGGCTATTGCTCCCTTCCCAGTGTCCTTTTTCTCCTAGGGACATCTTGCCCCAGGGTGGCCCTCAGGCTATGGGAAAGTTTTAGGGGATGCAGAGCAAGCAGGCACAGGCCCCATGAAGCAGAAGGCAGGGAAGCCAGCCTAGCAGCAAGGAGGTCCCATAGGCAGCTCTTCCAGGCAGGGCTCCTCCCAGGCTCCATGTGTACCAGGGGCCATGTGCCAGGTACCTCCCAGCCAAGCCTGTGCAGGGTGATGTGGGGCCATCCCTGAGCCATTTACTCATCCATTCATTTATCCATCCATTCACTCATTCATTCTCAGGCATTCCTGAGGAGCAGGGGCTCCTGGTTCTATCTAAGGTAGCTTATAAGTCACTGCTGGGCCACCTCACCCCACCTCACCCCACCTCTCACCTCCACCTGGCACCTGAGGGCTCCAGGCAGGGCTGAGACCCCTCTGAAGCTCTGGGAGAAAAGAGAGCCTTTCTCATAGGAATGTGGGACAGACAAGGCATGCTGATACTAGTTCCAGTTTGGGTCCTAACAGCACCTGCACGGGCTGATTCCTTCACACCTCTGAGCCTGTATCTTCCAGCCACAAAGTGGAGCTGTTCTGATTGCTTTGGGTCTCCAGGAGGATCAGATGAGAAGTGGGGTGCAGGTGTTGTTTTATGCCAAGGTCAGCACTTAGGAAACCTTCCACAGAGGGTAGCAGTGCTGACAGTGGTCAGCCACAACTGCTGTACAGATGCAAAAGGTGAGGACCAGAGGGGACAGGACCAGGGCCTGGTTCCAGGTCCCAAAGCCATAGATTTCTAACTCAGCTCAAGACTTTTCAGGGCTGTGCATAAGTTTAGACCACTTTGGAGAGCAGGGAGAGTGGGGACAGTAGTCCTCAGACACAAGTGGCCTGTATACAGCAAGAGGCCAGTCAGATCATAGGAACTCACAGATTTGCTCACCTCCTGGGAGCCCAGAGCTCAGGACCCCTGCCCCCCAGCCCTGGGAACCCCAGTTGGCACATTCTTACAAGGGGTACCCCATGGGGTGCTGCTCAGTCCTTCATGTGCCTCAGATTCTATCAAACGGTGAAGCCAGGGGACTGACTCATGACCCATGGTGAACACGGAACATCCCTGAGGAAACTTGAGTGTATGAGAAAGTTACTAGGTTTTCTGTTTGAGGGGATTGAGCGTCCAGGGTCAGGACTTAGCCTAGAAGCTGGGAAGCCTGGGTAGTCAGGCATAGCCCCTCCTGGCTGGGGAAGCTTCCTGCAGAAGAGGGGAGATCTAAGTCCTGAGAGCTGTTGGGGAGCATCCTTGGAGCTCCATAGCCTGGAAGCGTCATCTCCCAGAGCTGCAGATAACCCCATTTCCCTGGCATACTCCCAGCTGGGAGCCTGAGGTTAGAGGGAACAGAGACTTCCTGGGTGCCCATGCCCCACTCCAGGCCTGATGTCCACCTCAGGCCCCAAGGGGTTTGCAGTCAGGATGTTCTGTGCCCCCAAACTCGTGGTGAGCTGCTTCCTGCTCATCTGCCAGCCTGGGACCAGGAATGTGGTCTGAAGTGGTGCCGGGCAGGCAGGGTCTGGAGTCCCTGGCTCAGCCTGCTTCTGGGAGCCCTGGCAGAGCTGAGCCCTGGCCTGATCCTCCATAAGATGATTCTCAGGACAGGGAGCATTAGGGGCGCAGCACACCCCTGGAGTCCTTCTGGCTTACTGCATAGTCCAGATGGGAGAAGGCTTAGAGGGGAAGGAGCCCATCTAGCACGTCCCAGCAGATAGATATTGGCTTTGGAGCCAGACAGACCTTGGTTCAGGTCCCTTTTCCTTCTCTGGGCCCTATGTGCAGGATGAGGTTAAGAAACCTATGTTTTCTGGTATCAGAAGATGGTACAATAAGGAGCCTACCTATGTGGTACAGCACACATGTTGGGGGGATGCTAGTAGCCACTGTTATTGTTTTTGTGGAAACTCAAGAACTGGGGCTAGGGCCAGCCAGATAGCACAGTGGACTAAAGTGCCTGCTTAGACAGAGGCTAGGGTTCGATCCCCAGCGTCCCATGCCAGCCCCTCCCCTGGGGCACACTGAGACGGTGAGTGAGACTGAGCGTGGCAGCATGCGCCTATAATCCTAGCACTTGGGGGCTGAAAACAGGAGAATCATTACAAGTCTGATCTACAGAGTAAAGCCCTGAGGACCCTGTAGACCCTGTCCTAAATACATGAAGGAGAAGGAGAAGGAGGAGGAGGAGGACGAGGAGGAGGAGGAGGAGGGGAGGAGGAGGAGAGGAAGAAGGAGGAGGAGGAAGAGGAAGGAAGGAAGAAGAAGAAGAAGAAGAAGAAGAAGAAGAAGAAGAAGAAGAAGAAGAAGAAGAAGAAGAAGAAGAAGAAGAAGAAGAAGAAGAAGAAGAAGA